CATACATTCGATTAACTTTGCTATTTATGAAATATTAAAGAATAAAAAATGAAAAAGCTGATGTGATAAACGAAGGAACATGAAGCAAAGTTTAAGTGCTGAGTAATGATAATAAAAATAAACGATCGATTCACACAAATACACAAACGTTTCGACTTAAGATTAAATCATTCTCAGAATGATAAATCATAAAATTAAGATTATGTTACAATATTCATTTTGTCTATTAAAAAATAGCAAAAAATTAAAAACCTCTTTCAAATTCGCAATTAATATTTGGACCAAATAGAGTTTTTCTTATCTCGGATAACAGTAGTATCAAAAAAATCAATGCTTTTCGAATTTATTAATGTATGCGCAAATGCTTTCGCTATATCATTATCTCATCTATATTATCTAAAAAATCTATTTTTTTTCTAATATCGATAATTATCATTAATTCAAGATTATAATTTTGTACAGTTAGGAATATTCGATTCAATCTAAATGCTATATAAAAATAAGAAATATTATGATATTGTTATATTATTATTATTATATTTCTTATTATTATGTTTTTGAATATTATATTTAAATATTATTTTTATGTTATTATTATGATTTCTCTCCTGAAATTAGAAGTCCCTTTTATTCTTACGATACATAATTAAAAATGTATAATATTTTAAACAAATAAAATATTGCAAACTGAACAGCATAAAAAACTTAAAACAAATATAATAAAAGAGGCTATGAGCCTAGCTGGATTTTCGTTACTAACAATTCAATTTAACATTTCAAATTCATAATAATACACAAAACGTTTTCGATTCGTTATCGGATCATTGACTTGTAATCTATTAATATGAAAAACTTAATAATAGTATATATGCAAAAATAATTATAAATATTTTAAGTAATTTATTAAGATTCTTATCTTTCTTCATCGGTATACATATATAAATTATTTCAATTAATAGACGTAATAAATATACGTTTACTAATAAATATAAATTAATTTATGACGCAAAAAGAATTATTTTAATAGGAAGTCATAATGTAATAAAAAGAAGATGCATCGAGGGGACTGTTATAAACTCCCCCATCTTTCTCGCGTACATTCCAACGGCAAAAGAAGCATTGAAGCGAATGCGACGGGCAATCATGCAACTCGGGCATTGAACGCAAATTATTAATCCATAACATAACATGAAGCACGAAAGACTATTATTACGAGCTTTAAATATACCACAATAATATTTTATCTATTATCTACTTAAATAACTTGCAATAATTGCTGCATTAAAAAATTAAAATCATATGTGTTACTAAATACGTAAATAAAATAATATATATTAATAAAATAATATATATTATATATTTTTTCAATATATAAAATATATTATTTTATTTACATATAATATTATATTAATTTACGTATAATAGTGTAATAGTATATTTTCAATTTTTTCAATTTTATTCAATTAATAAACGAACATCTGTAAACCAACATCTTGGAGCAATAAAAAACAATATTTATATATAATCATCATTATATTATAAAGTAAATTTAGAAACAGTTTCTATAAAGTATAAAATAAAATATAAGAATTATGAAATTATGCAAATATAAAATACATCTAATATATCTTTTTATCCAGGGAAGTAACTAATTATTTGTAATATATGCCATTACTTTATCATTACTCTATTATAATAATAATTTGGCGATGATGAATTATTTTATGACTATAACAGTAACATCAATGTTGGAAAGTCACTCAATCATTATTTATAACGAGTGAAAAGACACTTGTTACTGAAAAAATTAACTCGGAATTCGTTATTTTTTAGTCATTACTTGTAACTTGCATTTGTTACAAATTACTTTTTTCAGTAAGTACGTAATGATGCAAGTTACTTTTCAAAGTAATTTTTTCAAAGCAAAATCTTAACGTTTAATTATATAGTTATCATTATATAGTCATAAAAAATTACATCGTCAAATTGTTATTATAAGAAGGAATGGAAAATGCAATGGAATAGTAACTCTTCCATTTCCTCTGTTTTTTTCTAATCTATTCTTTATCTTGAGCAGCATTAAAAAAAATACTAGCGAAAATTTAAGCACAAACATTTGCACCTACGTTATCTACTGAACAGAATATTTAAACTTTTTCTCCATTCTATATCTTCTCATTTATTTATACTTACAAAATATCTCTAGGTAATGTCTTGTAGAGCACGTAAATGAAGTGTCGGCGACTTCCGGTAAGGAGAAAGCCGCCAAGCAGCAAGCTCAACACGATGATAATGACCAGGTGGAGATCTGTCGTCATCATTTTCCGTATGTTTGCTCGTCCTAGAACTTGGGGAAATTAATCGGACGTGCAAGAAATGGCGCCAGCGGCCACCGGTCAATCGCGCATTAGTTACAAACACCGGTTACAAATATATTATAAACCGGTTAAGTACTGATAAACGCGAACGTCGTGGTATGACTGAAACGGAGTTGAAGGACGACTCCGATATATATAAACACTATCCGTGTATCCCCCCAACCATGTGGACAGACTTGCACGTAGTAGTCATCGCGAACTCATGAGCCATCCTACGGAGCTATTCCGGAGCAGTGGGAGTGATAAAGCTGATGTTACACGTTGCGATGGATAACACATGCGCAAAAGCTTTTATGAAAACCGCTCTCATCACTGAAGGCGGGTGCTCCGAAAACGTAAAATTGCAACAGGTTCGGTTTAACGGTATGGTCGCGTATCCTGAATTCTCTTGAAATAATTCTAATAAAATGTTCTTATAATCACATTTTAATAACACAATTACTTATTATCGTATCATATACAAGATCATAGTAAAATAAAGTAATTTTACTTTCTTAGCAGTAACATGATTTAAGAAAAAGAAATAGAAATTTCATATTTTCATACATTTCGTTTTTTATTTTAAAAGTTTTTAAAAGTATGTCTATACAAAAACAGAAATTCTGCTGATATAATTAAAAATTTAGTTAGATACAGATTTAAAAATAATTTTGTTAGACTATCAAAATAATTAAGCAGAACGCTCTACTTGCTAGAATGTAAAAAGTTTTTGCAGCATTGCGCGTCATACTCAAGTTTCTTACATGATTATTTTGATAATATAATATAATTATTTTCATTTATTTAAGTTTATTAAAATTTCTAAATACTTTAGCAAAATTGTTTTTTACATATAGACATGATAAGAAAACAAGTATAATAATAATGAAGCAACGAAAATATTTTGTTCTTTTGTCCCCAATATAAATCTTAATTTGACACAATCAGTAATCTTCGACAAAATATAATTAAAACGTGCTTATCGTATTCATTCATTCGACAATGTAAAAAAATGCTCATCACTGCGATTCGTTGATAAACAACGATAACAATGGTCAAATTGGCTATTTTGATAGTCAGATCATAGATCATAGATAGTCTCGCACGCCTATCGCAATTTGTAGGTCACACTATATAAAGCTTGTCACGTACAAAATTGCTTTATAAAATGATCGCTTCATTGCGAAATTGTAAGCTTTTAATGAATTCCAAAGAAGTACACAATATATTGTCTATAATATGTGATACATCCTTTCTTTCCTGTTTATATTTCTTCAACATTTTCGATATTTATTCGATATCCTGTTTCAATTAAAAAAAGATTGATTAATAATATTAATTTAATTTTACATTTGAATAAAAATATTTATCTTTTCAAAAAAGAGAAACATGTATAAGGTTCAAAAGGAATATTTATTTAAAAGTAAAGTTAAATTTAATATTAATAATCAGACTTTTTACATTAAAATAGGATATTGAATAAATATAGAAATAAACAAGAATGATTCTCTTTTGAAAATAAATTCCTAACAACTTATTGATGCCAAAAGTATACAAGAATAACTCATACGTGTGATGCTGTAATACATATATTCTAGGAATAAGAAATTACTTTTACATGTACCGTTACTTCTTAAAACAACGGTTTGGTAATGATATTGAAGTTTTTTTATGACGATAACGATAATTAACTAAAAGCTAAGGCTGGAAATGTCACTTTTAAAAAGTGACTTGTCATCATTACGTATTATTTATTGAAAAAAGTAATTCATTTTATATATATATATACTTGTGATGCGTTGATTCGTTACTTTTAAAAGTAATCAAATCATTGTTTTAAAAACGGTAAAAGTAACATCCCCACATATACTGAAAGGAACATGAATTCTGAAACTGTGCTTTACTTTAAAGCAGCTACTTTAACTAATAAAAAATAATAAATAGATCCGTACAAGTACGTGTATTACATTTACATCATTGCATTTACGAGAGAGAGACAGAGAGAGATTATACGCATTATTTTTTTATATAAAAACACAAGCCACATATATATAAACTGATATTAATGTTGCGTATTATATGTATAAAATGCATATACAACACTTGACATATAATATGCAAGTTCAAGACGTATGATTACGTATTATACATAGCATACTTAAAATATACTCAAAATATACGTATTTGTTTCTTGATAATATAGAAAGATTATTTTGATTTATACATTTATATCATTTCACATTCTTTATTACAGTTTTAATATTGATATCAGATTATATGTTTAATTCATTATAATACGAAAAATATATGAAAAATCATATATTGACAATAAAAAGCTTTTAAAAAACTTTTTTTTATAAAGCTTATAATATGATAAACAAAAGAAAAAGCAAATAAAATAGAAGAAATAACTTTTTATTATCTAATAAAAACAGTGAAATATAAATATAATTTATTTCAAAATTGCTGACATAAAACATAAAATTCTGATCAACATATCGTCATCTTAATTTCATTTGTTCGCACACACACAAAATAAACAGTAGTACAATTTTTATGGTAACAAAATGTACAAAAATGACACACATGTTTACATAAATAATAGAAGAGATATATTTATACAGAAAAACTTATATAATTACAATACTTATAATTGATTTAAGGGAAGAAAATCTTAATGTACAACATGTACAATATATTGGTGATTTCTCAGTCAGACGAATCTCACAACGATGGATCCTGAAAAGAAAAAAATATTAATATTTTTATAATTATAACAAACGTGGTTTATAAATCAAAAATTAATAAAAAGAAGAGCCACAGCACAAGATATTCTTTATGATATTTAATATATAATTACGTTAATAAATAATTACATTAATAAATATGTTAATAAATAATTTAGACGTTTCGGCCACAATCTGGCCATTTTCAATAAAATTACAAATATCCATAAAACACAGAATATACATAAATCTAACATTAAATTCAGCGATCAAAAATATAAATATACATCAACATAATTTGCAATATGATAATTGGAACAACAACTACGTTTTACGATGTACTCTTACAAGAGGAAAGAAAACGTTGATGTGTATTTATACCGCTGAATTTAATGTTAGATTTATGTAAATTCTTTTATGGATATTTGTAATTTTACTGAAGATGGCCAGATTGTGGCCGAAACGTCTAAATTATTTATTAACATAATTATATATTAAATATCACAAAGAAAATATCTTGTGCTGTGGTTTTATGCTCTTCTTTTTGTTAATTATTAATATTTTTGTATCACATTGATGATAGTTATGTAATAAAAATACAGCGATTAAAATGATAAAAAGAAGAATAGAACCGAAAATTTAAATAAATGCGATCAAAAAAAGTTGCAAAGTGCAAAGAATTGCGCAATTTAATATTTTTATGATTATTAAACTTCATGATTATTAAACAGATGGTTATAATAATTTTTGTTTTACGCAAACATCACTAAACAAAATTCAGGGACAATAAAAAAGATTATATAATTAATTATACGCAAACATTATTGTGCAAAGTTCAGGGACAATGTAAAAGATTATGTACCTTAATTTGAATGATCGAGGCTCGAAACATTACACTCGTTATCTGAGAACCAGGTAAAGTACCATGATGTCCAAAACTGAAAACGATACGCGCTAATCAAACTAGACAGTACTCCAAAAATTGACTGATTTAAAATAATTTAACATTGATATTTTAAATCTTTGATTTAAATAAAATTTGAATTAAATATAAGAGTTGTAAAATATATGTAGAAAAATATAATAGTTTGAGTAAAAGATAAATAGAACGGGATGGAATACAGAACAGAAATATATTTTTTTAACTAATAATTGTTAACTGTAATGAAAATTCGTATTCCAAAATTAAGTAAAAGAATTGATTTCAAAAATATAAATTTAGCTTTATATGTGAAGAACAAATATTTTATAAATTGTTTTTAATCTACAATCTATCTTATAAAGATTTTTATCTTTCCGAGCCACAAACCAATTAGTCTAATTAATAGAAAAAAAAACACTGATAATGATATAAAAATCCTCAAAAAAAAATTGCGCGTTACATGTTTGCGTCAGAACAGCGCAAAATATGCATAAATCAACAAAAAATACTTCAAAAATATTGCTATATTATTTGAAGTTTATATTTAGAAGTTTATATTTATTATATATTTCTGAAGTTTTAACTTTTATTTAAGAAAGATTGTCTAAAAAGAAAGTGGTATGTCAATATTGGTGACTTTTGTTATCATTAATATTCATGTTATGTCATGATAATATTTTATGTCAAAGATTACGAAGAAATAAAATTTAAGGGGTAAAACATAAACAAATGGAACCGTATGAATTGATACAAAAAGCTTTTAAAAAGTATGAGAATAGATAAGATATATGATATTATATACAGTTTGTTTAATTTTTTTATCGTGCTGTTATTAATTATACGCAGTACTATTTCTTACCAACAATAAAAAGTACGATCGTCACAGTAATGCTGATAATGATGATCCTCGATTTCACATTCTGGAGCCATGCTCTCCGTTGCGCTCTCTTCGCAGCTTCTCTAAATTCGTTTCCAGTCATATTGAGACGATCGCTCGCTTGCTGTAAATCCTCCAGTCTCTCGCCGCGATCTATTACTTTTTGAACATTATCCCGCATCACGTCCGCCACCTCCTGAATCTGCAGCTTGACGCTTCAAATACAAACAATGAAATCGATATCGATTGCTTGCATCATAATTTCGTCTGTATTAATTTGCATATATAATATCGTATCAATTATAAAAATATAAACTAACCATAAATATAAAGATCAATTCAAGACTAATACAAGATTAAAAAGCATGTGTGATTACCTTCTTTTTTTTTAAGTATTTTTAACAATTTTTTCCTCGTACTCTCAAAAGATTCTTCTTAAAACTAATTTCTATTTTACTAAAAAATAATTATTTATTACTGATAATTCAGCAAAACTTATCATAAATTTACGCTTTTGCGATTGTATTGGTCATAAATTGAATTTTATAATTTATTTGTCGACATGTCAATTATTATTCTACTTGATTAATTTTGTTCATTTACTCCATCTGTAATTCAGCAAAATCAAAATTGCATTGTTAGCTATAAATATGATAAATAGTTATAATATATATATTTTATATATATATGTGTGTGTGTGTGTGTGTGTGTGTGTGTGTGTGTGTGTGTGCAAGAAACAGTACACAAATAAAATAAATGTGGTTAAAATAGAAATAATAACCGCATGAAAAATAAGAAAGTTTCAATTAGAATACGTTCCAGTAGACACCAACTAAAAGTAACATAATATTAATATTATAATTTAGCAGCAATGTAAATGTAATTGTTATGTAACGTCAAGTGTTATATTATATTTATATTAAGCAAATTATAATCATAATTGCTTCTTCAAACTATATCAAAATAAATAAACATTGAAAAAGGCATATAGGTCAAAACACAGAATGTTATTGCACGATATCTATTTATCAATGTTTAAACTATGTAGATATTACCCGACTGTTATCTACAAATTTTTAAAATATAAAAATTAAAAATCATCATACTTACGTATCCATTTTATCATCAATGTTTTCATTTCCACTTGATGTACTGGGTCGGCTATAATTACATATTCCATATTAATACGTTTGTATTAATTAAGGTAATTTTCGAAAAAATATAGCAAGAGCGAAACAAAAAGTAAATACTTATATATAAATTGATCATCACATTAAAATGTAAAACTAATTTATACCAAATGTTAAAATAAGAGATAACTATATTTTATTATTCCAGTATTTTTTTGTCAAAAATAGCAATTACAATTATATATATTTTTATAGAAATTTTTAATTAATTACAGTTGATTAATTTTTTTCATTAATTACAGTTATAAAAATAATTTTCTTACGTGAACAGCATCTCTTCATCAAGATCGCTGTCGTGCTCCAATAGCGACTCCTGCAAAAGAACAGTTTAAACATATGTCAAGTTTCCCGCCAAGCGTGACATCACTTCCGAATATACTGCGTGTTCTTTGATGTACATACACCTATACGACGATAAGAGATACTTACTTTCTCATCTTTGTCCGCGGTTTTGATGTCCTCTTTGGATAAACTACGTTTACCGAATGATAACATATTCTCAGAAAAATAGGCCCGCGTTTCACTCGCAGGCTTTAAATAATTGATTCGCACGCCTAAATGATTTGTCGCGACGATTAGAATTTAACCTTCCACAAACACTCGGCCATTTTGACAGAAGCTATTCTGCTTTACCGGCCTCATGATAGTCGTAAGGTGGGATGCAAACCGCATATCAATAGAATAGATGGCACCATGAGCGATGTACGATAATAGAACAAAATTATTTTTTGTTACGAAGATGCTGAAACACTGTCTGTAGTAAAAGTAGCGTTTTTGTTCCTGTCCAATTTCTTCATAACTTTCTGCGTTGGTCGCCATACTGATGAAAAATGGATAAAGAAATCTGTAATTTTTTTTCCAACTTTGAACACCAGCGCCAAGTACATTAGCATGTATATTTTAATCGTAGAAAAGGAATTTTTCTGTAAAACTACTACGAAGAAATTGGACAGGAACAAAAACATTAAAAACGCTAGCTTTATACAGTAAATACGGCATTGATTTTGATTGATATCGATAGTATAGACTTTTTTAATTCCAAATAAAAAAAGTCGATAATAGTGACATCTTTAATTCATTTCTTACATTATTATTCTGTCTCACTCAACGTATACATTCTTGCAAGATCGAGCATCTACTAGACACAATTACTGCTTTGTTTACTATTCTGAGTCTTCGCTCAGCATTCGTATACACGTAATTTGCAGATCAATATAAACATTTTTTTTAAGCTTTTTTTAATCTTAGAATTATAAATTCAGTAATGTTCACGTAATCCGAAGGGTAATGGCACTGTCGCTTTGTCCATATGAACTATAAAACTTTTGTATTAAGGAAACGTTTACGTTAGGTGACTCTACGAGTTGAAAAATAAGTAAATTTTTAAATTTTCGATTTTAGTATAAAATCCACTACACATCTCCTAATTTTGCATATACTTCAATCCTGTAAAAGAATTTTTGATTCCGTTCAGTAATTCGGAAATTTTTATCGATGTGTCGACATTTGTCGGCAATGTGTCGACAATTTGATTACTCCAGCATCTCCTCAAGAAGATATAATTCTAAGTCTACAGCATCATTCTCATTAGTCCTTTTTCCTTTTTTTTTTTGTTGATACTTTATATTAATTAAGTCTTACATTATTTTATTATAGCTGCATTTATTATGAATATTTTACTTGCAGAGGTACTCAAGAAACTAATAAATCATCTGGCATGATAACAGCTACATTGAATTAAAACTGTCTCCTATCATTTTAACTTATTTCTAATTTTTTTTTACCATTGATTTTATAATCAAGAAAAAAACATTTTGAAAAATAAATGTTTAATGTTTTTTTTTTATAGAAAATGCTCGTATACATAATTAATTAAACATGTGTATACGCTTCCTTTTATAGCATACATTAAATTTTTATAAGTTTAGTTTCATTAAAAAAATAAATACTGTCAATCTATCATCCAAACGTATAAATAAATAATTGTTATAAACAGAAACATCGATTTCTCTCGCGTTGTCTAACTTACAATTAGTACTGCCAATATTATAATATATTAGTATGTATATAAAGTTAATAGTAAAAGTTATTAAATAACGAATGCATACAGTAAAATAAGTGCACAATAATCCTGTTTTGAAAAAATATATGCACATAGAAGAATTTAGATAACAAAAAATGTCTAAAATTAGATCATAAGATGTTTTTTGCGTCTTAAAGACGACTTAAAGACTTACGTCATAATTTTAGAGTTTATGTTGTTTGAGAATTATCTGTGATAATAATATCACATTAATTATCTCGACTGATTTTATTTGATAATCAATCGCTGAAGACAAGTATTTACAAAAGGATCATCATTGAGGAGCAATTACTGTATAATCCGCAACAATGGTTTAATAAATTTGCACAGAAATATTCAACACGTGATATACTTCCAAGTATCATTCATTGATCATTTAATAGATCTGTTAGATAACAAACATATCTTATTTGATGATAACGCATTCCTAACAATTCAATATAAAGAATGAAAATATATAACTTGTAGAAGCAATACTCCAACGTAAACGCGCGTGATACACTAAATCGATAGCTTTATTGTTCAATTATCTTCTTCTTGATTTGAATCGTGAGTTTATACGTCGTAAATTTATTGTATTGCACACTCTTGTCTTCAGACGAGTTTTCTTATTTATACTAGTTCATGTTTTCTTACTCTTTTCTATCTAAGCATTTGTAATTTTCTTTGAATCATCATCAGCATTACATTTCATAATACAACATATACTCTAATCTAATAGTTCTTGAAGATTGATATTTGATTAATTTTCATGTTATTATGACGTATAGAATGACGTATTTATATCATAACATTATTACACATCATGCAACAGTGTCATTTCGAAGAATTTTTTTTTAGCTACAAACGTCATACGTAATAATATAGAATATATTACGCTCCGTGACTCATGTTTTTAGCAATTTATAGAAACTAAGGTAATGTTCTTACATATGAGAACTATTACTAATGACTCAAATGCTTACAATTAGAAATTCCATTTTTCGCATGCAGATAAAATTTAATAAATATGTGTTCACATTCAACGGCGCCGACTTAAAAAAAAATCTTTTATTAAAAAACAAAAAAGTAAAAATTATTGGGGGAGCGAAAAGCACCTGCCCCCTAATTAAATCGGCGCTTTTCATATTCAAACATTCATATTCTAAAAATTACATGAAAATCTATCTAGAATTTTTCTCAGAAAGTACAAGACATACATCTCATTTATCTCTTATCCACATCTAAACAGAGAAAATTGATCCCTCCTTAAAATTAGTATAAAAATAATGTTTTCTTTGGATACTCTTTATTTACTTATCAAAAGTATTCTTTCCAATGAGCAACCATTAAAATAATATATTACAATATATTTGTCTGCTCTTTATTATCCTAATAAAGTGCGATTATCCTCTACATTTTCAACACTACATTATCTGTTTCTCATACACACCAATTTACTCCCTATGACAAAGATCATAAAGAATAAGAGGCTCTCACCATCAAACCATCGTAAGCATCATAAGGGATATGGCACGCACCCCGATGACGTTCACAGTGGGGTGCTGATACCAACCACCCGCCCACGTCTCGACGCCTGTCGACGCCGGTCTAGCGACTAACGCAATCGGTCAGAACACGCGGTACTAACGTCGCAAGAGGACTCACAGTCGACATTGTCGACAAACGTCGCGACGTCGGACCGGTTGCATTCAGTCGTAGTATTCCCCACTTTAGATTACGTCGATCATCCGAGTTTCGATCTTGCTTGATGGAAGCAAAATCTCGGTGCATTTTCCAATGCCGTCGTTAAGGACCTTTCGCATCGAGTTCGACCGGCCGGGCGCTACTTACGCACCTGGTGAAATCGTTACCGGCGACGTCATCGTTGACCTGGCCAGAGAGAAGACAATCCGAGGTAAATAAACGTCCGGTACGTGACTGCCAGGCGCGGCACGAGCGCACGAGGCTCGCAGTATCGAGCGATCGCGCCTCTTAATAGTCTTAATGCCGTCATGCCATCGGCGCCGCACCGACAAGAGCGGCGGGCACCGACGAGTGAGCGCATTCGATAGTGTATGCACGTGTGGGTGTATATGTGTGCGTAAAAACGCGTGCAGTGCGAAACCAGGACCGTACGTGAAGAATTGGGTACTTACAAGTTCTTGGAGAAATACATCATTCAAATCGCTCGTGATAAATGAAGATTTGAATATTATAGATTCTAAATAGAAAAAAATAGAAGAAAAATCGACGAATTCTTCGAATATGAATATTAATTAGCGTCTTAAGAAAAACGGATTTAAAAACCTCAAAATCTTGTAAGTTGATAAAAAAGGGAAAAAGGATAGAAATAAATGAATAATTGTTCTAAACAAGAAGTACTAATTGCAATGCAATGAAAATTGTCAAATGAAGAAATTCATGTAGAAATTCTTGTTACATTATAATGAGATGCATTTATAGCAATCAAATATAATTAATTAAATATTACATACATTCGCATAGAAATAGTTTCTATGTCGATATTATCCACGATGTACGTGGATATTTCTTGTTCTTATAACAAAAGAAGTGATGATTTTTTTTTCGTTGGTTATTCAAATGCTACTTGTATGCGTGAATTTCTATATGTTCTGTCACTGTGTGATAATGAAGTCCCCGTATAAAAACGTTATTATCAAACATTCAACATGACATTCGACATCAAACGTTGAGACCATTTGAACGAAACATAATGTTACACGAACGCTAATGTTTTCTAATTTCTGTGCTTCAATATTAAAACAGCAATAATGAAATCTCTCTTCTGCAGACGCTCCCAACCATTTTATTTTTATTTATTAAAGAAATAGATTAATTAAATAAAACCTGCTTATTTAATGCTAACCGCGAACAAAAGAAATATCAATTGGATATACGGTCTAGTTATATCGATTCGTACTATCAGAAACGATATCCTAACAATAAGCAAACAAAACCTGAAATTATCTCGCTCTCGTGTGCGCTTTATAAACGAAGTTATAATTATCAAAACGCATCGTACATTACTTGATGAATAATATTGGAATATATACCAGAATATACAGGATGTTAAACAAAATTCTTTGTAAATTTTTAAGTAAAAAAGTAAATTTTTATTGTACAAAAATAATTGCGAAATTTAAACTCTTATTATTTTATAAATATTGCAAGCAATAATTTATAAAATAATAAAGCCTTAAATATGATCACTTGTAATTAAACTATAGATACATATATGTGTGTGTGTGTGTGTGTGTGTGTGTGTGTGTGTGTGTGTGTGTGTACAGGGTTGGCCATATTCGACGGAAAGATGTTTTTTTTTTTCAATCATGGGAAACGTCGTTACTCGATCTAACATCTCTGTCAAAAGTTACAGTGTTTGCCAGATCTTTCCGTCGAATATGGCCAACCCTGTATATATATGATTTTATAAAACATAACTCTCATTCCCGCATTTTGAAATACCTTGCAATTATCACTTGAATGTATTTCACAATCTACGTTTTCAAAATTGTAAGTCTAAAAATTATCGACAAGCAATTTTCACGTGGCTGCTATTCGATTTAATTCAATTACTAACGAATTTAGATCGCCGAAAAGGATTGACTTATTCCGGAGCAACAGTATACGAAACACCGGCTTTTCGCAATTATTTTTTGTGTATCAGCTGTAATGTAGTTACGCAACACATCAATATACATGTTTGCCAGTATTATTGATACGTTTCAAATGACATTGAACTTTGTGTGAGGTGTGTTATAATGTATCATTCTTGCTAATGCGCAAGTCTTTCCTATATATCTCATGTAATCTGCGTAAAAAATTAGTAGGACTTTTCTTTTATTCTAGTCAAAATTTTTTTTTAAGAAGAATACAAATACGTACATATACGTACATATACGTATATATTCCAGGATCTTTTCCAAGCCATTATATCATGTCCCCTAAATTTTCAAGAATTGTTCAATCTATTAAAATTAATTTTTAATTATCTTCTTTTTCAAATATTATATATAAAAGGGAGAATGGATAATCAATGATGATCATTGTAAAACACAACAATAATTCAAAATTTCTTTTAGTAATATTTATGAGAAAAAATAATAGAAATAAAAAGAGATTGAAATGGACTTTTTGATATATTATATTTGAATAAAAATATTATATTTGAAAAAATATATATGTATATAAAAATAAGGAAAATATAAGGATATCGATATTTCCAGCGCTGAAATTGTCGATTAAGGGAGAAGCTAACGTTAGCTGGGAGAGAAAAAGATCGACCAAGGATTCCCAAGGACGCAATCGCACCCAGACTGATCATTTCCGAGCAAGCGAACAGTATTTTAACTTGACTTATTACCTATTAGGAAATACAGCAGGTAACACTTCCAAGATTAATCTATTAGAATTAAGTAGAGCCACTTGAAGGATTATAACAAACTTATAAAAGAATATTACAACAAAATAATAAAATGATTGCTCAATCAATGGAACCGACTTAATAAGTTTTTCGAAACATTCTAAATTTCAGGCAATGGGGAAGTACGAGTGCCAGCGGGGTTTCATAGATACTCATTTAATTTTTCATTACCCTATAATATACCATGCAGTTTCGAACATACAAACGGTCACATCAGATATACGATGAAGGCTGTTATTGACCGACCCTGGAGATTTGATCACGAGAGTAAAATTGCGTTTACTGTGGTCTCATCTTACGATTTGAACGCTCACAGTCATCAATGTGTAAGTAACATCGCTACACAAAGATTTTTTTGCCTCTATTTTACACAAAAGTAATGTTGAACTCGAAAATAAAGATACTGCGTGATGACGTTACCAAAATCGAACAATCTGTTTTTCATTAGATCGGCGCAGATGATGAAGTGAGTGAAAGTTTTTGTTGTTTCTGCTGTTTCAACTTGGGTTCGATGAAGCTACGTATCAGAATACCGACAACAGGGTTCGTTCCAGGACAATCGATAGAAACTATGGTCAACCTCAATAATACCAGCAGTGTCAATGTAACAAAGATCTGTGTTAAATTGGAACGAGTAGGTATAATATTACGTAACTAGCGTATCAAATTAATTTCAATCAATATAGTAATTGTAACCCTTTTTTCTATTTGTAAAGTCCTTGGAATTTCATGCGAGATCACCGTATAGTTCGACCAAGACAGATAAAGCGATTTTAAAAGCTGAGCAAAGAATGGGACCATTTGGCGAACAAGCTGACATTCCATCACGATTACAGGTTCCGCCAATACCGCCATCCCATCTCGAATATTGCAGTATAATAGATCAGAAATATTCCTTGCGCATTACCATCCATGTCTCTGGAACGTATGTGTGTAATGTGTATTTTTCCAAAGCATAAAATCAAAAGCAATTTAATTTATGCGATTGTACATGTTATAGTCAATAGTACTTCTTAAACCAATTCTTAAAATTTTTAAGAATTGTTCTGTAATTGTTTACAACAATGTCCCGCAATTTACGAAAATAGAAAATCACAATTAAACTATACTGATTAGTGATTTTATTAAGAAATTCAATTTCCGCTATATTGCAGGCATTGCAGCATTACCAAAGTTTACCCGATCTTGATCGGAACAATTCCATTACACTCTACTATTTCATCTGCATCTTATATACAAACTGTGCAACAGCCCACAGCTCCTGTAATGCAATACGATTATGATCCACCGCCGCCGATGCCGTCTCCAGACTATGTACCACCAAATACGCCTTATCCTCAAATGATAGGTTTTGCCTCGCCAAATCAACCCAGCACGTCGACTAACCCGTGGGACATACGTGAGTGATATTTTTCTTTGTAAATATTTTGAAAATTTAATATTAAATCTTAAAAATATATATCAGCCTTCGTATAAATATTGAATATTATTTTCATTTTATTGCTTTATTCAATTAGAAGTACAGAAAATCAAGACTAGAGAGAAAATATTTTTCTGTACATATCTATAAAAATATAATTTTTTAAGATTTATTATGGAAATTTGATCTGCATGTAAAAACATTAACATCTTTAACATGTTTCGTGTACTAGTGACCCACACTGAATTTTTCATTCAAACTGTTTATTTTAGCTATAAAAACATAATTATAAAATAATTGTTGATATATAATTGTAGATACATATTGTAATTATGATATCAAATTTATGATGCAATATTAGTACCTCCTTTATAATTATTTTTATAATTTTCGTAACTATGAAATATTTAACAAATATGACAAACGCAAACAAAAATACTGTGATGGTCAAGTTACTTAAAATTGGCCTAGCACAGATATGTTAAAAAATATAATTTTTAAAAAACTATTATCTTTATCTAGCACCGCCATCGTATGAAGAATGTATGCAAAGAGCGGATAGTATCAAAGATGAAGATGAGTCAAATTACGTGCATGGTGCTAATGAACCTTTCGCACCAAGATACCCAGTCTTCAATTTCACAACATCACGTAAGAATGAAGTAATTTATTGACTGAATCTATCATTTTTAACACTGCATTTTCAACATTTTTTTCCACTAGATCCACCTAAAAAATAATCGAAAATAAAATACTGGAAAATAAGCTGAGACAAAGTGAATACATCGTAGTAGCATTAATTATTTCTACTCGACGCATTTGTGATAACAAAAGTCAGGAAATCAAAAATACATCCTCTGATTGCTACTACCTCATAGTGTATAATATCTTATATAAATATATTACTCAACTTTTTTAAGTGTAAATTAATCACGTATACATATTTTTATACTCTATATCACACTGCTTATATGACTACAAATGTATTGTGCAGTATGTTTCATAATGTGCAGAAAAAATTACGTATAATATACAATAAAGAATATAATTTTGCGATATATACTTCGTACGCAATGTTTAATTATACGATAGCAATTAACACGCTAAAATATTTTTTAAAAAACTTAGGAATAAAATCTACAAAAAGGAATATGTAAGGAGAAATAAAGATAATTATGCCAAAAAATGGCATATTTACACAATTTATTTTATATCTCAACATCATATCATAATCATTATCGAGTCATATAATAGCAAAAGTAACGTTAATGAGGATTTTGAATTTCGGTTAGAACAGTAGAGATAACAAAATGGAGAAAGGACAGAAGGAAGAAAGGGAAGGAGAGAGAGAAGAGAGATTCATCCCGATAACTTGCGCAAGCGAAATCGATTCGAAGAATTTGGAATTGTGAATGTGAAAAGTGCAATATATGGAAATCGGAGATGGAGCGAGAAACATAAGGAAAAAGGCTATACGATATAATCGTGAATTTAGCGCGCGAACGTTCACTTGTATATGAGATTTGCTATTCTACAATAATTGTATTCCAAATTTACAGCATAGCAAATGTACATGGTATTATTATTCACATTTAGTCACCAAATGCCCGGCAAACAATATCATTGTAGGAACTGAACCCATCCATTTCGACGCTTTTAACACTGCCTTAAATATTGACAAAGGAATACAATCAAGTATCCTCCGATTTTAATAAGTTTCGATATGTTAAAGTGCATACAAAAGGAGATCTTTAACTGAAGATCGAACTCCAACGAGACGTCTGCTTTACCGATTCCCAGTGGGACTTACACGATTTAGGTGACATCGATACATACTAAAATAAACGATTTTAGAGAGAGAGAATCTCCCTAAAGATAAAACTCTTCTTTGAAAAAAATCGATTTTTTTCAAAGAAGAGTTTTATCTTTTTAGAGAGATTCTCTCTCTCTCTCTCTCTAAAATAAAAAGGTGTTTTAAATAAAAGAATGATTTCAAGAGTAATTTATAATACAAAATTTTTTTCTAATTTTGTATTTATTTAAAAAAATGTTTATAAAGTTATTGTAACTATAAAGTACTCTTAAAACTATTCAATTTTTTATTCAAAACATTTTTTATATCTTTGATTCAGATGATATTTACTCAAAAAAAGATCAATTTTTTCAAAGGAATGTTCTCTCTTTTAACATGTAAGATAGATACATAAAAAAATACATATTTTTTAATCTTATTTTTGTCTATATTTTAACATACATAAAGTTTATTAAAATCGGAGGGAGACAATTCGTTGTATTCCCTCATGAGACTGAGAGAATATTGAATATCTATTATACGATATCGGATAATTACGAAAGATGATGAAGTCTTCCAATGCTTGAAAAAGTTCAAATAATTGAATCCTTATTCCGAGAAGATGACAAACATAATTATTCTTACATCGCAAATTTCACTTTAATGCCGCTTGCACGAGAATGGTCCCGTTAATTATCAGAACTTGTTATCGTCAGACATCGCCAAAATTTATATGGAAGCCATATACTTTGATACAAAGTCAAGTTCCATTCGACTTTATCGCATGGAATAGTTCAAAGCATTCTTACGAACGACGAGTTCTTTTTGGATGGACCATTCTTACAATCGTAAATTCGATCAGAGCGGTCTCTTGAGTAATTCACAGAAACATCCGAAGCAAAATCGACAAGAAATGATGCGTTATGATTCGTAACATTCTGCGGTGTATGACGTGTATGACTGACATTTCAATGTGTACGATTATAAATCGGCATTCAGTGTCCATAAAACTTCACTCGTGCTAATTCGGTATATAATTCACGTGAAGGTTGGAGTAAATTCATATTAGGCACAAGGACAATTAACTCGCAAGGAAAATTCACGAAACGCTGGAGAATTTTTTTCTCTGTGTAATTAAAAGAGATAGAAAAGTCAGAAAATATGAGAGTAGACTTACACGAATTAGCGATAAACGCAATTGACGAAAACTTATACAGCATTGTCATAAATTTAAAAGTAATGCAACAGTGAAATCCGAATAATGTTAAAATACTTGATTATAGACAAGAAAAAACACGACATCCTCTATAACAAATTGATTTTTATGTCCATGATTCAATAATGTTTCCTGATTGCCTTTCTAGATTTTTCCGAGCGTCCTGTTGTTCGGGAGGGAAAAGGAACTGTGCGCTCCGACTTTACAAAAATTTACTTCGCTTATATTACAATAACCTTCCCTCAATTTAAGACATTCAACCCTTAATATATTATTATCATAAATAAATTTGGTCTATATCGGTAATATTGTGAATACGCCGGTACAAACACTGGCAGTATTTGGTTAAGTAAAAATCATGATCACTAGAAGAGGTAACTTGTACGGAGATTAATTATGGTATTACAATTCCTTTCATATTTTGTAACTCTTTTTTTTAACACACGAACGCAAAAGAATAGTATTTCAATATCTCAAAACTGACAAAAGAGAATAATTTAAACGCGCACGTTACTACTTCCAGTAAACCTGATTTGATATTCTTTAAATGATTTGCCGGGGGTTTCGCAAATCTATCCACGATAGAAGCAAAATTTCTCTATATATGGATGCCAATAAAATACTTTCATTTGTCATTATTTAATTAGTATTTATACACAATTTAGCGTGATATAAGATTGTTAATGCCCTATGGGATCGATCTCTATAACCATCTCCATAATAATTTGCAAAAACGAACAACAGAAATAGATTTAAAAAATTAGGCTCCAATATTTCAACATGCCGCAGATGAATTAAGTGATAGCTAACGCGCGACAAAATTAAATAATAGAAATTATGGTAATATAAGATAACGCTACTTCGTGAATAGATCTACCAAATAGAATCGATAGGGGAGTGCTACGAGTCAGGTAGATCGGCTTGAAAAATAGGTATTGTAACAGGTGTTGTCAACATTTCCAACTTGATCCACCAAGATTGCCCCGGTCAGTATGCATTGTGAATTATCGCGATCCATTGATTCGCAATGATTCATTTTTAAAAAAATAATCAATGTGTTGTTATTATTGCCAATATGGCGTAATGGGTTCAAGACAAACATCAACATTTTTTTCTCTACTTGCATGTATGTGTACATACTATCAATACAACCAACATTAACTGAGAATAAGAAAAAGGCATTATTTTACATCATCACCGCGTGTTGATCCAAGTCATGAACCGTAGGACACCGAGTTGTGCACACGCAGTGTTTAAATTTTTTTTACATATGTCTCTATATATTTATAATGTATGTTGTGTTGTGTGTTTATGTTGTGTGGTACGTGTTTTACTCAATCACTTTACATTATTACAGTTTTTTTCAGTCCACACACTTTTCAAATACCTGCAAATCAAAATTCATATTTTTGCCCCATTTACATTTTCAAGCATAGTTACAAACAACTCTCACAACATGCACAAAAAATGATATTGTGGCATTGTATTTATAGAATTTTAGCTCATTATTTATGTCCAATGCGTATGATAACATATACGAATTTAATAAGCGCGCGACTGCAATCAAATTCGTATATATATTATTCACCCCAAGAATATAAATAGATTTGTACAATCAATAACCGAACAATGAACTCTCGTGCGACATATAAACTCCGAAATCAATATTACTTAAAAAAATATTATAACATCTATATATTAAATGAGAGATTTCTTTTTTCTTTTATCAAATAGCTTAATAAGAAATTAAATTAACGAATTCTTTTTTCTTTTATCAAATATCTTAGTAAAAAATTAAATTAACGAATACATACATAATTATAAAGGAAATTTTGCAATAAAATAATATTTAGAAATTTGAACATAGGATATTTATATGAACAAATATTTGTATCATTCCTAAAATCAAATAAATAAAATTTTAAAGCATACCATATTTTACGTGTGTATTTTTAACCTTCTCTCTTAATGGCACCGGGAGCTTCAGCTAGTCCTTTAACTTTAAGCCGGTCTGCTGTTTTGAGAAATGCTGGTAGCTGATCTTGCGAGACATTTACTTCACCTGCATACATGAATTCTAGGATGGCTTGTAGATGACTGTACGCAACGTCCTTTAGAATTATAATTGGATGTTTGGACGGATTTTCCTATATTAAAGAGAAAATTTATTTAGTTGCAAAGTCTATCACTAATAATATTAGCTAGTAGATAATAGTAATGTTAGAATGATGATGTAAAATAATAGTAGAATAATATTGCCAATGTACCTCTAATAAAGATTTGAAGTAAGGACTACAGGCGGACAAGACCATTTTATGTGCTTTACAAGTCTGACCATCGCAAGCCAATGTCACATCCGTGAAGCTTTTCTCATCTCGCAGATGTTTGAACGATGACACCATGTTTGATTGGAAGTCATTCCATTTGAGAAAAAACTGTTGCTGCTCTCCTGCCATTGTGAATGCTGGAATTTCCCTATAACTCTTGCGTGATTGTGCAGTCTGTAAGCAATATTACAACGAAACATCAATCAATTTGACAAACAAATCAGCCCTAGAATTCTGTAACTTTGTACAGCAGTGTCGGTATCATTATGCAGATATATATTATCATCATGAAGATATTACACATATAGTAAAAATATAGTAAAAAAAAAGCTATGCAACAATATAACAATACAGTCACAACACAATTAAGAATTACAAAATCCTAATGCAGAACTGTCTAAGTGTATTCATGTATCATGCATTCATGTGAGACAAGACTTAAACAAAGTAAAATAATAAGAACAAAATAAGGTCTTCTTTTCAGCTGAGCTTCTTGCATAGTTCTTACATCTTTTCTCTTTTTTTTTTCCAAGTTGGTGAAAAACAAATTTTTTAAATGCGAACAGCTAAAAAGAACAGGTCTAAATCTTATATCACGGACCTGTTATAATTCTTGAAATAAAATGAAAATTACAAGAGTGCAAATTTATTAGAATATTTATTTAGAATAACCTCAGGTTAACATCGAGTGAATTTATTTACTTTTATAAAACTTTTAGTCTTTATCTCGTTTCAAGTGAATGAGATATAAATAAGCCTTCAGACTAGAGATTGAAACTAGAAATTGAGACTGAGGGCAGTATTTATAATTCGTTCTTATTTCAAAACATTCTTAAGTAATGTCTTAAGATACTAATACAGCCTTCCTGATTTATTACACTGTACTTAAAGCAGTCTTAAATATAAGACTAGATTATGAATACTGGCCTGAGATTGAATCTGATTAAAGTAAAATTTATCGAGTTTGATATTTCTTTATTTTTTTTCTTCTGATTAGTCAATCTCAATCTCTATGATACAGGCTTTACGAATAAAAAGAGATCACACGTCCGATATCACGGGCTACATCTGAGGTAAATAAAAAAATGTACAACGACATACGCGTGAGAGGACCTGTATCAACTGCGTCACGACGAATGTTAAGTTTCGACGAGAGAACGAAATTCGGAAAAATACGTTCGCGAGCCCTCATGCGAAGATTCTTTGTAGGTTAAATTAAAGGATGCCACACAGCGAGCGACTGAGCACTGCAGTGAGACGCGGTGACGCGGAGTCTACCAAATCACTCATGCGAAGCTGAGTATATCATCTCACGACCACCAAATTAGCATGCACAGCTATGATGGATATATCGGAACATCGGGATTCGCGTTGATATTCCGTTTTCGTCACAACATCGCAACGCGTGCATGCGTCCGTTGAGACGTCTGCCGTCAAGAGGCGCACACGAGTCCGACACAACACGATCCGCAAACACGGCCAGGCGGGATCGAACGCGCGATATCGAGTTCCGCACGGCGTGCACGCGATTCCTTACTTCGCGCCGTCGACGGGCCGCCAAATCCTGGACGAGGCGACAACGTGGCTGACGAGCACCTTGCCGTTGCTTGCCGTAGGTAGAACGCGAAAAATATGTAGCGCCAAAAACTTTTTGCGCGATCACCACAAATTTTTTGTTGTGGCTAATATCACGGCGAGGAAATTCGGCTCAAGTCGAGTCTTTCCGCCGGTGATCGGTTCCGTCTCGCGTACGCAGTACCGACTGAAGTCGCTCGCAAGCGAGCTGCCAGATGGCGCGACTCATCCGGTCGCATTTCGTTTATTAATACGAAAATCAATTTTAAACGGTCGGTAAACATTTCGTATTGATTTCTTCAATTTCTTAATGTGTATGATTCCGATGTTATAATTATAAATGTAGGGATGCACCGAATATCTGATCGGATAATCGAATATCATTGTAATATTTATCGATCCCATATCCGGTTAAAATTTTATATTTGCAGAACTTGTACAGTTTATCTTTTATCTTTATCTTTCCACGTTGAAGAGATAAAGAAAATTATTATCGTTATTTTTCCTTTACTTTCTTTTTTTTTTTTTTTAGAATGTTAAGGAATTTGTACCGAATATATCCAAAGATATCCAAAATCCGGTCGAATTAATGGCTCTCCAGACAGAACGCAGCAACGACGGAAATTGGCGCGAGAGTAATTTTATCGCTTTTCTATAAAAGAGTGATTAGCTACTGTACTAACTTCTGTTGCGCGATACTGTAGCGTTATACTGTATTCTGTCTGTGGGAGTCATGATTGTCCTACCGGATATCGGATATCCAGTGTCACATTCTTTTCGAAGATTTTTATCAAAGAATTTTTATTCCGTTCAGTAAATTTGAAGATTTTTATCAATCTGCATTCTGTCGATAATTTGGTCACTCCAGCATCTCCTTAACTCTAGATACATATGATGGTTTTTCGATCCTTTATGATGTGTTCGACATCCCACAATTGAATTAATAAGAGATGCTACGGTAAACTCAATTTGTTCCATCTTATGTATAACTGTCTCTCTTCACGCCAAAATAGCGAGGCGGATTACTCTGTTAAAAACCTCTTCTGAAAATTCAGAGGTTGAAAAAGCCTAGAGTACTGTAATAATTTAAATGACTTTACTCGATATTTCCGAAAGCAACTGGCATATTAATTTTGTACGACCCGGAAAATAGTTGGAAAGATTTCTATTCGGAGTAGAAGTTCCGAATGCACTCGTGAAGATTCTGAACGAAACTTAATACGTAAAAATTCGAGGACTGTTTCCGAAAAACGAAGATTGATGATTACGCTAAATCTACATTTGTTCTCTTCGATCTTACAAATTTGCGGAAATTATTAAGATGTTAAATTAATAAATTGTAATGATTTAAATGTCATTTTAATGTCAGTAAAACAAATTATGACTTCGTCTATAGAAAGTTATAATTTATGGACAATATATATATACATAGTATAATACGAAGTCATACATAATTGTTTTTTTTTCTAAAATATTATTAATAATTTATCGGAAATCAAATAATTTAGTACTACCTACTAAGGTAAAAGATTTTACTTACAAAACAAAATTATTTTCATTTAGAAGGGAAAAAAATTAGTCAACTCAAAATAAAAGAATCAAAAAGAGAGGGATGGATAAAAAATAACGCGTACTGTTTACAGGTCTCCGATTCCTGTTTCGTAACCCGTTATTATGTAATACATATACTGACACACACATACACTTATCAACATGAATTAGAGCACGTAAAGCGTTTAATTAGTGATCCGCGAAGGGATGTTAATTAACGCGATCTAATCTTAGTATCGATCGCGCGCAAAAATCGTCGCGTCTAGGTTTTTTTCCGTGCTTTGATAGTGATAAGAATATATCGATACAAGAGCGAATCGCTGATATGCAGAAACTCGTTCAATCTGATCGATTAATGTACGTCAGCGTGCGTTGGCTTATAGATCAACGCACGCGTAACTACGCTGAATGATGATAAAAAAATCGCGCGTGGATAAACAATCAAAACATGACGTAATGATGACAAAACATAATGATTCGTCTATTCGTGAGGACGGGAGAACTGTTTGTCTGGCTCGACCGCGATACATCTCGCATGGAAAAATTCACCGTTGTTCCCGTTGTTTTTGTAAAAATTATTCTCCAGAGATTACAAGCAATCTGGCTAGTGATCTATGGTCCGATGACACCGGAAGAGGATGAACATTTCAAAAATCTGTAAAGTTCCGAAGAATTTCAGAAAAAAGCGAGGATAAAGCATTTTTAAATTATAACGAAATGATAAGCCGCAATCAACGTCGAGAAATAGGGAAATAACATTCTAAAATAATAAAAACAGTTCCAGAAAATGGAGAAATTAAAATCACATCGTTCCTGTAATTTAATGTTAAATATCAATGCGTCATTATAAATCTTGATTAAAACTTTACGAATATATTCGCAATCATATAGTTTTCTTACAAACCGCATTTATTGCGTTATTATTGTGTTATTTAATAGTATTAAAAAATTTGTGTGTGTCTTATTCAGATATATTTTAAGCAACTAAAACAATATAATGAAAATCGTCTCTTAAAATCTCTAAAAATCTCGAAAAAGGTAGCACAAATGGCAAAGAAATTCTGCATTGATTATCATTGATTGCGCAATATGATGTAAACGATGACACTTTCCTGTCAGCTGTATAACAGTTCTCAAAAATAAATATCGGCCGTCGTGATTAGCACACCACGTGGCGTATACAGTCGCGCGATGTACGATGCATTAAATATGAACAAACTGCATTAAATACGAACAATTATAAAATATTAATTGTGATACATTAACGGAAGTTAATGAATGGCAATTAAATGTATATGATGATCTGATATTCGATATTAATAGCTAATTTAAATTCGATTATTCTCAATTCAAACAATTCATGCAGTAATTGACAACTCAATGACCTACCTAGTAACTACGAAAGCTGTCCAGACAACCAAGCATGTCTCAGCAAAATCGCGCGAATCTACGATTGCTTATGATGCTAGTAATTTGCAGTATATTTATCTTCAACAAATATACCGACATTGTAGCGACATTGTAACAATGTATTATATGTATTGTCAGTAATTTAACGGCAAAATAGAAGCATTAAAATTACTTCGCGTTGTCGGCAATACGACAAAGTATTGTGTGATATAGATATAAGGCCTGTTCTTTTTAACTGAACCTTTGCACCAGTTCATCTTTTTTCCTTTTCTCTCCAGGAGAGAAGAAGAGGAAGAAAGATAAACTGGTGCAAAAATTCAGTCAAAAAGAATAGGGCCATTGATTATTATGGCAACGAATTTTGATGATTTTAAAATTATTGTCAAATTGTTGATAAACTGTTACCCAAAATTGTGTCATATTGTGAAGGTATAAATCTGCCAATAAATGCAGACTCAATTGTTGCAATTCTGGTAGCAGCACATACTTATTTATAAGCAACATGCCAGCAACAAGTTAGACACGTTGCTATCTGGATAATTGCCCGAGCGGGAAAATCCATGCGAAAATCCGTTTAAAATAAGAATAAAAGTTTAAAAGTACCTTTCCTATACGCATGCGGCGTGGCGCGAATAGCA